TCTATTGTAGATTGGCTATAGTATTATTAATAATGGTAATAATTCTCCTAGTCAAGCAGTCTTCCTAGCGTTTGAAGCACCTTTTGGAAGTACTAAAATTCAGAAGTAACCACTGAGTGGAAAACTGCAAATAAGTATCAACATCTTTGAATTCAAAATGGGGGATAGCTGTTGCGCTTTTGTGACTTCAGGTAGTAGTGCCTCGATTATATCCCATAGTTAGATGAACAAAACCACACTGCTCGTTGCTAGCGTCACATCAAATGGATGGCAGCTGTTGAAACAGTGATGTTTACACGTGCAGTTTTGACAGACGCTCAGTAATCTAATTCAGTTTGACCAGACAGACATTCAGAAAACCCGTAAATCTGCCTCACTCTGGGTACAAGTCGAGATAATCTAAAGGAGATAACAGACGACATAGTATTTGCTAACCAGCTAGTCACCTGATGTGTATTGCTGCGGATTCAGATGCGGAGGAGATCCTAGATGCTTCGCTATCGTCTTGATTGTAGAGCTTTTTATATTGAGGAGATGAACATGATGTTATACAAGGGGTTCTTTTCGTTTACAACACAGAAACTGGTTATAGAAAATCATAATGAGGAGTTTATGAAAAGTGTGTTTGAATAGTTTGCGTTTATAAGAGAGCAAAATGACGAAGGCTAGGAAACCGCTTTACAGGTGCTTTGTTGGGAAAATATGATTTATTTAATGAAGCTGAATTCTTCGAATAAGAATGGGATTAATAAGGGAAATGAACTGGAAAAACCACCTCAGAAAAAGAACATCTGCTACATTAATGATAGAAGCGAGACAGGGAAGGAACGGCAAAACGATAAAAAAGAGACTGTAAGTTCGAAGTTAGAGATTGATTTAGCCAATAGCCTTGTTTGTTAAGGTGTAGTGTTGAGTTTAGGCTTGGAGCATTAGACTAACGAAATAAATAACTAGATGTAATTTTAAAGCTAACCGGACTAGTGTGATTAGGACGTACGTGGTGTATATCCCCGAATAGGATTCCTCGGAGTGTAACGTTTACTGAGGCTGACAGTGTTTGAGAGCTGAGCAAAGATGACCAGTCCAAGGGATGGGAGAAACGTATGAAAACGCTATCCAGTGAACTTGCCCATGCAGGGTATGTTAACCTTTCCGAGTATGGTCTATGGAATAGATCCCCTCCGTGGCTAAAATGAACAGAAGCTGTGACTGGGTTTCTCTGTCAGTAGCGCCCTTGAATTAACACTTTCCTTGTCGACTCGATGCCACTATTTTTTCTTCCATTCTCAAATTTTCTGCACTACTATTTTTAAAAATTTCTGATTGCGGTTCCCATTGAGAAGTAAGAACCAGAACTTGCTCACCCAGTACATGGTTTTCGGTTGTTCGAAGTGAACTGAAGCAATTTGCAGTGCAAAAAGTTAGAGAGGGTAACCTCATCCGATGATTGCTGTAGTTCCCTGAGATGAGGCTTAGTTGGGTTCGTTATTGTGTAGTGCGAATAAATTTAATAACCGTGGCCTTTTGTGAAAAAGCCTACGAGTGGTTACGGGGTTCGTTCACAACAAGAACAGAATGTTCATAAAAGTACTTCAATGGGAGATCAAAATGAACTGTTAGCTTCATGCCTAATAGTGTCCTCTGTCTTCGGGATGACCATGAAACATACTTTTCCGACAATTCGAAGCGAAAGAGACAACAGTTTCCGAGTAAAAACAGTACTCACAATGAATTTGGGTGAATAAAAGTGAACTAGAACATGTGAACTTGAGAAACTACTGGAATAATCTGAGTTGTCTGAATCAGTTTGATTTCAGCAGCCATTTGTCAGCAGGATAATTTCGTCAAGGTTACCGGATACGTAATACGCAAAGCTACGCGTGCTCTGCCGAACGCAATTTTCATGGGTGAGATTGCTAAAATTCCTAAATTTTCATGTTATGTAGATAGCTTTGGCCCTTAAAATCTGTAAAATTTCAGTACTTTGGAAGCTGCCCCTAAAGGTTGCGCCATATTTGGCACGAGAATGGTTGATGTACGCATGATATGATGAGTACAGTAGTAAGTGGCTGGACATTGCTCAAGTTCACCCAGACTAGCAGATCATAGCTTTCTTGAGTTACGATTCCAGTAACCTTGAGCAGGAATAACTCTGATCAACATAACTTTACGTAAAGCTGTCGGGAGATAGGCGGAGTTTCTCTCGTTTACAGATTTTGTTGTAGATTACGGCTTGATAACAGATTTTATCAAAACAACAAGTGATAATCGTTGATCAAAGTCAATCTTCGGCAACACAATGCAATGTTAATTTTATCTACTGTCTAGACAGAATTATGATATGGATTATTTCTTCGATGGCTTTTTAACTAGTATTTGAGTGAACGATGGAAACAAGTCCCCGTATATTCACGTTTTAAACTATACAGCCCACTGCTTGCTACTGAGCAGCAGTAGTACCAATAAAACTCAATAGGACTAACTTCTTTTTGTGCTAGTCAGGCACATACTGCTTTTAAAATCACATTTTTATAGTAACTTTTATCGTATATATGCTCAGTGCACTGACCGGTGTGATTAAATTTTGTTTTCTTGATATGCCTAACTTTTCATTCATGCTTCTTTTCACTCACCACTACCGATTTGATTTGTGTCGTTTCCGACCAGTTTGATTGCCACTAAAAGTTATATCTTGCCACAAGGTAATGACGTCCTTTGAGGTTAGATATTGTATCTGTTACTACACAGACAAGTTATACTTTTATTATATCGTATTGAATAATAATTTATTAGTGCAAGGTCTAATCCACCGTTCCCTTGGGCTCACCAGGAAGTCCTTAATGGAATAATTCAGAAGCATAGAGGAAGAATACGAGCATTTACCAACCCTACTAAAAAGAACAGAACTTTGTGAAAATAGGCCTTATTACTTTCAGTGTCTGAGGGGTTTACAAAACTCCTCAAAGACCAGAGTTATTTTGGGCAAAAACACCTTTTTGTAAAGATACTGACGAAAAGTCAGTGATGAAATGTTTCACAATGTGCCCCTGCTTGTGACACTGTTTTTGTACTTTACGCTTCTTCCGCTTATAGTCCGCTTGACTAATTTTAGGATAAAAGCCTGTAGTGTTTTGTTAATCCACAAATAATTGTAATGTGCTATTACGGTCATTGTAGACATCTACACATGAGAGGGAACAGCTATCTTTCAGAATGCTCGATATCAATTACCTCAATATATTTTGTTTTCGTTCGTTAGTCAAAATTGTTTTCATCATTCATGATCACAACTCAGAATAGTACCTTCTAATAGTATAGAGATTTTGTTAGACCATCTACTGTGACAGAATGTCGGTAAAAATTTGGAAATTTGCAGGTGTAGCTTGTTGACTGCTTTTCATGAGGACTAAACTGGCAGGTTGAAAAATGGATTTATTTCGTCCAAACATCACGAGTTGATGAAACTCTGCTCGTACAATCCAGGCTGGTTTTCAAGATAGACAGAAAAACCAGTTTAAGGCAAGTTATTTAGCTAGATTTGAATGAAGAACTTTACAAATTGGCCTAGTTTAGCTGGGGCACTGATCGAACTAGGAAATAAGTTCTCATAGTGTCCATGTTTTTGGATAACAGTGGAAGACTGTATACAGATAGAAGAATATTTTCGCTATTAAAGATTTCTTTCACAGCAAGCGAATTCTTGATAACAAAGTATTCCCGCTTTCTGTATGTCCACTGGGCGGTATGGTGTATTAGACATTGAAACAAAAAATCTTATTTGTCCCACTCAGCCCAACTAAAAATTGAGATTTTCACAGAATCCCGTCAATCCTAGTGTTGACCCCGACCGAGTCTCGGATTAGTCCAGAGAAAATCTATTAGAGATTATTTTCAAAGGTTTATGCACAAAACGAGTACACGTATTGTTTACGTTTGTAATCAGCCGTAAAGTAAATCATCCGATTTTCTCTACCTAATTGGAGTACCACCCATTCCATTCGGTCGTCTTTTCAGGCTGAGGATATGATGCTAGGACAAAAGCAAAACTATTCAGTGTCTAATCACCACTGAACGAGTTCCGCTTTTGCAGCACTCACTTTAGTCACGAAAGCCTAGGACATTTTATTTTTTTTAAGAGCTCCAAACTTTTCTGTTGTGATAATTTCAGGGATCTGGCTCGAGGTTTGGGTTTGAAAAACCTTTTTGAGGGAAACTGATATCCCTCAAGGGAACAATGAGGATTACTTTACATATGAAATCTCGTTTGGGGTTTATATTTATACCACTGACATCAAAAATGTTCAAAACCAGGATACGTGTATGATAGTGCGCAGACCGTATACAGCCTCTAAACAATCATTTTGTTATTTCCCTATTTGATATGTTCCTGATACCGGCTAATAAAGGTACTGAGATTTACAAAATGGATACGTAATTTCCGGTTTAGGATATCGGGATTATCAGAAATTTCATCACCAACGAGATAAGTCCTTCATCTGTTCATGGAGAAATGTTTATTTATATCTCAATTACAAAAACCGAAGTCCTCGTAATCAAGATGTTTTTTATCTTTTGGAAAACTGTTACTGCTCATCGACTGGGTACTTTGCGTTCTGCCTTGTGTAGATGCACTTCGATATTTAGGACCACAGCTTCGTTCACCGAGAGAATGTTTAGAATCACAAATTGGACCAAATGGGGCTTTATCACTTCCAAACAATGAAAAACGGTAACTTTCAGTGAAACCTTTCTTTGAAATCCATGCACTGAAGAATCTGATTTTCTCATGTCGTAAGTTTCAAAAATGCATAACAAAAACCTTACGTTACTGTGAGATAAATAATCCAGAAAGCTCTCTCTATGTATGGAGAAAGAAAGAGATTGAATTCGTAATGTTTATCTAAAATTCATAGATGAAGAAATTCCCATTTCAAAACTGAGAAAATCTATCTTGTTTTGTCCCTATTTCTAAAATTCATTCTATACGTGAATTGTTGTAGCTCCCGAAATAGTGAACTTTGATCCGATCACATTCGCAACGGATATGTGGGCAGTCGGCGTCATAACCTATATTTTGTAAGTTGAACGAGTAAATACCTTGTCTGATCATTACAATAAAGTATGTATATTTTACTTACCAAGAGAAGAGAAAGCCTCCGGTCTATAACCGCTTCGTGAAACATTTGGTTTACTATCCTAAGTTGCTTTAGCCATCCGCCCTTCTTGGTATTTTTTCAAATTTATCAAACCGTATAAATTCACTGGAACTATCAGAAGACCACGATTTCGTCGTTATCTTATTGTTTTTTCCATCGGACACTTCTTAACCGAAACATACTTTCAGAAGAGACCCTTTATAATCTGTTCGGTGTGTCTTGGACATCCGATCTGTGACCGGAACGACATTAGTAATTTACTATGAAGTCCACTTCCTCCCTCTGTTCATATATATTCACACTGGGGAAAGTTTGATATTACCACCCATAACTGATGAGTTACCGTCTTGATTAAGCACCAACAACATTTGAAGTGAACACGGAAAGTTTATGGATCACGCAACTGACGGTCCAAAGACAAAATTATTCACCAGTTGTTCAGACGACTAAATAGAATCAGCCGTCTCAGTTTATGGATGAGAGCAATATGACTTTATCTATGCTCAAAAATGTGCCCTGGTACAATTCAATCCAAGCGGATATTCCCTTCCAGGTACACGTGATAATTACTGATCATTAAGGAGTCCTGTTGTAAGAATACGATGATTAAGGAATATCCATCGCTTATCGAAATGATGCATCCACAGGCCTTAGTTATTTGTCGCAGCTGTCAGCATCAACAGAATATGCAAAAAAAAAACAAAAATAAACTTTTGCCTTTTTATTATTTTGAAGATTGACTGGGATATCGCCGTTTGCCGGAGACTCACAGATTGAAACATTTCAAAATATCTTGGATTGTATCGTGGATTATAGTCGTGAGGAGATTCGGGATGCTACAGATTTGGCCAAGGATTTCATTCGACGGTTGTTGATCAAAAATCCAAGGTAATCTGTAATCATGAGTTGTTTTAAGACGGAACACTAAGTGAATGTGAAAAATGGACATGTCGATATTGTAGACAACACGGTTTCTGTAGAATTCTGACTCACCAGCAACAGAAAGCTAAATTTATTGCCAGCTTTCATCTGTGGAAATTCGGCAATCGCCCTCCAGTTTGTGTAATATTATCGACTATCTTTGGTTCCAAATAGTAGAAACGTATTACCAGAGAGCATTTTCGTAATAAAAATAAGTGATTAGTCAGCTGAACGTTCAGAACGCAGCTTACAGATTTCTGAAGAGTGTATGCGGATATATCCCTAAACCCTGAAGTGCAATTTTTAAAACATTACCGGTGAACTACGACATTGGCATCTCATTTTTGACGATTTTGCAATGTAGTCGAGGAAGACTGTCACCTCCATGTGAGCTAGATTGTTTGATTGTACCAGCTCTTTTCCCGTCTAACGCTAGTCGTGCAACCAAATGAATGTGTCTGAAATTATTACCTTTATGTTTAATTCATGCCTACGTATAAATAAAGTGGTGAAAACACATTCATTATTAGGACGTGATTAGTAGAAAATCGGTTTTTCTTTTCCATTGTTTATCATGTGGCGTGAGCATTCAACTCACCATCTAAAATCATCAAAGTACCGTACAGCTGTTTCGCCCTTGTTAGGAATCACCAGTAGTGCACGTCCACCGAGCCTCCAAGGGGTACTCGAACATCGAGTGAGCAATTTTGAACACATAACCAACAAGCTATTCGGCATGGTTGAATGAAAGTCGACATTGAGTGAGGCGTTGATACTACATGGTGATAAAACTAATCTAGTACTTATATTCGCGTATTAACTAAGCTTTAAAGGCCGCTTGTAAGGGAATTCTTTCGGTGAACTTAGAAGTCCACAGAAAAGCCGCCCGTCAAATGGGTCGATCATTGTGCAGGCAACCGGTTGTTGTTGTTGTTGAGAATCAGCGAAAGAAGGGCAGTATAACATATGCTTCTGGTGGTGATTGATAACAAGGATGAAGCTGCTGTACAGTGCTTCCGTGGTTTTTAAAGATGAGTTGAACGTTGATGTTACACCACGAATCATACCTTTCGAAATTGTAGCAAGAGTTGTCGTAAAAGTACGCCCACTTTTGGACCAAGATGAATGTGAAGGTGTAGAACAAATAAAATATGTCCAAAAGTGATCAGAAATCGTAAACTGGTAAAGGGGATAAACACGGCAGTTTCTGTTTCCATTATATTCCGATCATTGCAATCAAATATGCCATTTATACAAAAAAGTCAAAAGAGAAAATCCGTCGACTTGAGTCATTTAAAATTTTCTCTCACGAAGCTGGGAACTAGAACGCTAAATTCTTTCAAACGAAGAGCATGGTCCTTTTAACTTGGACTACTCGAAATCACGTGCGGCTAATTAGAAAAAGTTATTGTGGTATTTATAACTTGGGTTTCATTAAGTGCTTCCACAATTTACATATATTGCTCTCCATTTTTCACCCACGTTCCTTCAACACAGAAAACGCGCTACGGTGAACGAGTGCCTACAGCATCCTTGGATCCGTGTAAGCCTGTTTTCTTTTTCTAGGGTATTGTAATAGATTAGAAGTTTATATATTCAACGAAGACGTAATCTTAATGGTATATGTATGCATATAGGGTGAAGTAGTTAGAACTTCGTAGGCTAAGCACGAAACAGCTGTTCCATGGTTTTGTGGATTTCTGAGAGATAAATTCATGGGACTATGCAGTCGACAGAGTCAAAAGTATATCTACGAAGTTCAAGTTGGCGGAGAAAAATGGCTGCAAATAGCTAAGATAAGGTACTACCCAGGACCATTCCCCTGCGGTTTGCATTGGAGGATATGTCATGTTTCTGTGGATAGACACGATCACCCATCTCTACTTTCGTCTTAGGGGTTTGTTCAGTTTCTCTTGAGAATGAAGGGGTACGTCCCACGCAGTTCGAAAGTCGCTCCTTTGCATATAAACTGTGTTGTTTATTGCCTCATTTTATTCTGGGAGGGTGACGCTTTCTCGGCTCGTTTTACGTGTGAGTGCCATCAAAAGATCCACCGTGAAGGTGAGTTACATAAACTCCTAACATTACATATGGCTTTCCTGGAAATGAGAGTGAATCACGGAGCTCCTTGATTAGCTCAAACCTATGGGTTTCTGCGGACTAGTACTTCTAATTAAACGGTAGTAAATTTGGCCACTGCTAACCGCGCTTCGTGATTCGTCACTGTTTGCTTTGGTTCCTAAATCTTCCCGTCAGATGATACCTCAGAAGTTTTCTCATTTCACTGTACTTGTCATCTTGGGAGTATGGCTCTTGAGCATCTAACAGAACAACTGACATCAAAGATACTCATCTTTCGTGAGGTCTTTTTAAGCTTACTTTTTGTAACTTGGAAGCAGGGTGAAAAGCTTTGTTGATCCTTTGTGAATCTTCATTTGGATTCTGAACCTCTGTTTGCATCGATAAGCAGTTAAAACATTCTGCCTAATAGATCACCACAAAACATTTTATTGAGACTGGTAGCTTCAGCGTTGATAGAACCATAGGAGATACGTAAACAGGAGCGAGCACAGACAGGGCCATGATCCAAGTTCGAATGCCTGGATCAGAATAGGTGACAATCTTTGATTTGTCCGCGCCAGCCATGATGAATTTAAATGGTCATTCCCGGTCCAGCGCCGTAAATTTTTAAGAAGACTACCGTTGCGTTTATCACCACGCATGCCAAAACGTCTTACTAGCAAAAGATATTCTACGACCAGAATACAACTAAATGTGACAGCCACTGTTGTCGGTTCTATCCGGCTTGATCAAGAATGGGTATCCTAAAGGCTTTTCTGCTAATCCTCCTAACAGACAACCTGAGTGTTCACATCACCTGCAGTGGCTGTTGAACAAAAGCTTCAAAGCAGTTGCTGCAAATCCTGATGGAATTCGTTTGTGGCCTCAGGAGGATGACTCAAGAGGCGCATGTAAGAAGATGACAAACAAACACCAGTTTGTTTTTTATCAACATAAGCAGAACCTCCCATCTAACTGCACACAAACGACTGCTGATCAGAATCCAGTCCGACAGTGCTCCCTTAGCTTTCCTGCACCAAGTGGTGCAGACTATTGCCTGATTAAATGCACCAGACGCTGTATTGCCCGAAACGCAAATTGAGGGGCAGACTTTGTCTCTGTTAAGTAAATTGTTACTACAGTACTAAGGTCATATAAGCATGTTTTGGAAACAAAGCATACATTTGTTTTGAAAGCTGTACTAATCCTGGCAAGGGCAGCTTGTTGTCTAATCTGACAGTGTGCGAACTTTGGAGGCAACTAACTGAACATTTGAACTTGGGAAGTGCCCTCAAATGACGTCCTGCTTAAGAGCCATCGGTGTTACACGGGGTATTTTGGGCTGCAGTTATGTGCGATATTAAATCTACCTTAGACTGGATGAGGAAATTTCGTAGATGATTATTACCGAAAGGGTGAAAGAATGTTGCTCTGACTTTTCATAACAAGTGGATTTTTTCTACGTGTTCTATCCATAGACTTTTCTATTAATCTGGGTTTGCGGCGATTTGGGAACTTTCGGATCTTACTTTGATAGTAATAATAATCAGAGTCGTCACCTCAACAGTTCGACTCACAAAGCCCTGAAGCGTCAATATAATGCAGAAAGAAACTCGCTACATCACGTACGACCCGGATGTTTCGCTGTCCTATATTCGCTGCCGTGAAAATTATTGATTTAGTCATCTGATTCAATCCGTATGATCATGCACGTGATGGAAAGCCTAAGGGCGAGCCCACTTTGGGTTAGAGGTTACCCGGCCTTGGAAGTCGACAGCTGCCGATGAATCCCGATTACCTGTCCCATCGTCAAAGGGACCCATAAGTAATCCACTCTTAAGTCCATCAGTGGAAGTTTTCGACCGATACAATATTGATCTCCGTACCTAATCACCTGAGGGTCCTTCTCGTGGTTATAGTTACTGGTCGTGCAGGGCCAGATGTTGATCATCAGCCGGTTCAGTCAAACTAGACTTCGTCTACTCTCTATCCGCTGACCTGTCAAGCTTCCTCTCTTATATGACTCAAAGAAGACCTGTGAAATCACTGCATAACTAAAGCCGCGAGAACATTACACAGCTTCCGAATTCAGCCTCAGTTTAAAAATATTTAGAATAGACGTTCGTAAATAATAGCATACATCCAGGACAGTTTGAAAATTAGTGGATTTCCCGTGATGCAATAATTTGTTTGATTACACCTCAACGACAGACTTGAAGATTGCTACCCAACTTGGAAAATTGATGCTCACTGTCTTCTTGTGCGGATTGTTTTAAGCAAACACGATTAAAATAAATCATTTCTGCCTTCCATTATTCTTTATAATTCAGTGTTTTCGTCATGCTGTTCGAATAGGAAGTCGTTTGTATTGAACGATATTGATAGATATTAGGTGGTCGACAATGATGAATACGAATTTTGGGAAATTCTCTGTAAGTTTAATTCAATTTTCCCTCCCTCTTTCCCGCCCTGAAGCCATCGGATGACTCACAACAAAACTGTCGAAGAGGAAGCGTAATAAGGAAAGCAAATTTGGACGGATTACGCCATTTTATTGCCGTGCCATCAGCCAACGAAGCGAATGTAATCTTCCGTTTTAATTACTGTTTCTTACAAGAATGATTAAAAGTTGTCCTTTCTGATTGAAAAATGCTATTTTTCCAGTAAACTAATGAACCCAATACTAAGGACTTAAACTGAATATTGAAAGATTCCACGAACGCTTTTTTTAAGTAAACTCACTAGATCACATCGAAAGACACCGAAATAGCATTTTTTTATAAATGACGTGAAAGATTCCTGTCCGGAAAAAGATGTGCCGAAAGTGGAGAACTTAGTCATATCGCGAATAATAGTAATATTGATATTGATTCTCTAAAGTGGTTTCACGTTTGCATCTGAGAACAATGATTTTTGCATTATAATTTATCTATCTCTACTTGCAGAGATAGGGAGTATTTATATTATTCTGGTAGATTTTGGAAACCTGTTAGGTAATATAAATCTCATTGATCCTTCGTGGTTTACAAATGAAACGGCTCGATTCACTGCTCGAACACTCCTAAGAATGAGGATGGAAAATATTTCATCAAGAAAATTCCTAACACAAACAAATACAGGGAATAAAAGCCTCCATTATTTGTGCTCCTGCTAGCTCAGATACGTTACTCCTGGCTGCAGAGATAGCATCCCAATCTAAAATGCAATACACTTCCCTACTCAGCTGTTGATACACATAAATAAGGTAGAAATTAAGAGCCTTATCACCTGGATAGCACGATGAGCAAAACATTCTCACCTGGTAATCATTTTGTCACAAATTACATTCACTTTATTAATTTAGCCCACATATTTCCTCTACATCTTTATTACTGCTTGTTCTTGTATTGCTCTTCTGACACTTGAGTGAACGCGAAAACTACACTAGGATAAGAAATTAATTGTCATGATTTTCTCGTTAAATCTCTTCAGAGTTTTCACTTTTGAGCACAGTCTCAACATCGAAATTTGTCTGAATGTATGGTTTTTCCCTGCTACGCACATGATGACTTCTCCCATAAATTCTTCAAACTCTAGCAAGGAAGTTACCATGGGTAGGAATTGACGACTTTTTCATAGGAATTTTCATTTTTCGTCACATCAGTAACCACCTTCTTTGTGTTTGTGTTCACCGTTTGCATAACAGTTGTGCTTTGTACGAAAATTTACTTCATCTCTGTTTTCGTGTTGAATATTTAACTATCATTATTCAGCGTCAGCTATGGTAATTCGCAGGGGACTTTGAAAGCAATTTTTGCAATGCCGTTTGCACAGGTTTACTTTAAATTAGTCTCCTCCGAACTGATTTCCAAGGCTGTTTCTCGCATTTTGTGGATTTCAAACTTGATTACTCAAGAAAATAATTGGGTTAGAGTGAAACCCAGGGAACAGAAAAGCTTGGAGTAAAAAATATCAACTTTTGTGGTGGAATGCCATAAAAAGTCAGGTAGCTTACAAAATATCAGAAAGCTTCAAGGCTTTTCGATGATTTTCGTGGTTTAAACTGATACTTTGTACTGTCGAGTCTAAAGGATAGTCGATTCACATCATTCCGTTTTCGTTCTAGCAGAAGAGGAGCCCGGCTTTCTCTAGACCAAATGAGGCTCAATGCAGTACAACATTTTTGTCTTGAGATCTCCTGTTTTTTCGCGCAGAAGATTGCGTACTTAGAGGGTGTTCGATAGTGCGCCTCCCACCGTTTACTAATGCCATGATATGATGTAAAAACTTGCGATATCTTCATAAGGAAGCGGTGGATCAGTGACTCCTCCGTTCTCAAAGATCCGCACTAATCACGACCCTCGGATTTTAGAAACATTTTACAGATTATTTTTTATTCCATTTGGTTATAATTGATCTGGCATGATTTATTAACTGACACAAATTAGGCATTTCTTCAACATCTTTCCTCGTCTTCTGTGTATGGTAGGATAACGGTGAATTTAAGCTTTCCCGTTAGAACAAGCTTTCAAGCTTCTACTAATTTCTAAATCTTTTTGGCTAGAGAATCGTGTGTTAGTCACATCTATGCGATGTATTCAAAAATATGTCGCACAAAGTTTTTCGAAAACCACTGAGCATCGGTCCTTTGGTTATACGCATTTGGCTTACTAAAATCCTTGTTTGTATTCAGTCATTTAAATTGCATCCATAAGGGCAAGGAAGCATGGATTCCGTTAGTATTATCCATCAGTTTGATGGAAGTCTGTACATATTCTGTAGTGCCTATACATCCTCCTAAATCCCTTCGGAAGTGAAGGGTGCCATAGGCTCAGATGGATACAGCTGCAAGGTAGCCTCTCACCAAACAGTATGCTCATATATAAGTTAGTTGCCTTTCGTCTCCTATTTTGTTGGGCCATGGACTGTAAGATAATATTTCGATCCTCAGAAGGTAGTATCACCGTAAACTGGATGGGGTTGGGTTATATGGCTAGTTTTGTTAACGACAGCTTTATCGAATGTAGTATCATCAAACCGGTCTATATTTCCGACTATTCCTAATTCTACCATTAAACCAATTCAACGGAATTTGTTTTTTGGTCCAATGAACGGTATTATCAAACCGGAGTTCTTAATGTCGATGGCCAAAATTCTTACCCTGGGTCACCTGGAAATAATTCTACCAATTTATTGTAAAGGATTTGCATCAAATATGTGTGAATTGATTTTCCAGTACTGACAATACCTCAAGTGCGGATTTACCTTTTTGGTGGTTACTTGAAAATAGTCAATGGCCTCAAGTACCTGTAGAGCCTCGTCACAGTTAATATGCATACTGACTATTTCATGATGGTCGAGGGCTGAATATCCAAATATTCCGAAGGGATGGGTGTACAGAGCTACAATACCTATGGTTTTGCTCTAAAAATGTCAGAACTAGGGTTCCCATACTGAGGAAACTGAAGGATATTCCATCTTCAGCATCCGTTGCCTTCGGAACTATACCCACGAAGTTCTTCATCTTGGACTTAGGTAATCGCACTGCGCCGACTCCGGTGGTGCAGCCAACTTGCTTCTGCCTGCCCTGTGCCAGCCCAACTTGTCTTTTACCATTTACACTCCATAAGCGTGTACTGGAAGGTGCAATACTGAAACCAGTGTATAATTTTGTTGGAGGATATGGATTCGGCCTTAGCTCTGACCTCTGCTTGTGTATCCTGACATCTCGATTGTTATATTAAGGTTGAAAACGGTCACTGATATAATGTACTAAGTAATGTGTCTCAGTCGAAACCAAAAAGGGAAATTCTGTGGGGTAAAACTGCGATCGATGTGTACACCGGAAAGTAAAATACTCCTAAGAGTTCAACAAGAGAAAGATAGACGCAGAATTACCTTGTATACAACTTGTTTTATTGGCATATACTTTTATCATTATTTTCTTGTAGTTTTGGAGCCATATATGACTATGGGTAGATTTTTCACACAGATGCACCGTACTTGTTAACTACATTTTGTTTTCTAGTCTGTATCGCCACCTCTGACACCTGTGAAGATGTCCACCGAAATGGAACTCATTCAGGACAATTTAATTCCGCCACTTAAACCAGATGACATTTCAGAAGACACCCCTTCATCGCTGTCAGAAAACCAACCAAGTAAACCAGACGCGGAGAAAGGTGAAAAAAGCCGTGTGCTCAGCCGGAAACACGGAACTCACGGAAAGTCCAAGTGTTCTCCAGAAAAGAAGGATATGGTGTCCCTTGAAAATAGTTCACCGCTGAATAGAACCCGCGAGACTCAGGAGGTCCATGTGAAAATGTCCGAGACAGATCATCTCAATCTAGGTGAATAAGTACAGTTTTGATTATTTGTTTGTTTTCAGAAACTAAGAAGTTTATGTAAATAACGAAATGCTGTGTTAAATTAGTACTCAAACACACTTGAATGGACGAATCGTCGATAGAAGCACATTAGAAAGCCCATCTCCACATAATCAAATATCGTATCAGACTAATAGGCCAAGGGTTGTCTCTTCTTTTATCATCCGGGGGTATGGTTTTCAACTGAGAACAACGACGCTAAAAAAGGATTTTAGTCGCAATAATTCTATAACCGATTTTTGGATTCCGATATGTCAGTAGTGCCTAAACATTTTCTAAGTGAATGCGTCTCGCAACTGAACATATGTTGAAGCTATTCAGTGAACTGGTTTGGTTATTTCTATATGACACTTGATACATACATAAATGCATACTTCCGTTTTCTTCAGCCATTACATTTCACCAGGCCTTTCGGTTTACTGGTAAAAAGGTTGTCACAGAAATCTAATTTCTTAAAAATCAGAATGAATAAAATCCTCGAATATGCAGAATCATGTGATTTATTTTTCTCATTAAGATTGTCTTAGGAACATTTCACTATCCCTGTGGGACAAAAGACAAGCAGTAATTAGACGTTTTTGTTCATACAACTAAGTTTGCCCTTGTTTCGCGGCTAACAGTCTCTGGTTGTTTATAACCTAGTCGACAATATCGATCGCAAAGTATAAGTATAACCTTTTTGCCTCCAACGATAATAAAAATTTGTTTACTTAACAATAATCATCTCAGAACATTTAGCGAGTTCTAATTTTCGAAAAATTTTTCCCTCTTATTCTTCCGTCAATTATAGTTGCGGTATGCTTGGGCCTTATTTTAGCATCACACCAACAGTACAGCCTAGCAATTCGTCCGCCCAAAATAACTACGAACTTAACTTTATTAGATAGTCAGCGATTGGTTTGTGCTAAATTTTATGAAATCTTTATTGATTTATGCAACACTACGGTTTAGTCTGTTTAAAAAAGAATACCATCGAAGTTTTCTGCTACCTGAATAGACGAACATTGGTTGCACTGTCCAACCTTCCAAACAGTAGGGTTTTTAACCGGGGGGTAAATAGTGTTATTTGTAAACACTAGTAGCGTGTAAATAGACGTGAATTCATTTTCGCTCTGAAATTGCCTTCATCGTAAACCAGGAATGATAAATGCATAAAACTTTCAGATCTCTGAAAATGGTTGATAAAGAGAATAATATCACTAAATTCGAATTTACCGAGAAAGCCTTCTGATCAGCTGCAGATGAACCTACTCCTATAGATTATCCACTCAGTTCCGGTAAAGATTGATTCTCATGGGGCTCACTTCCACTAAAACAACTGGCTAAGAAGAGTCTAATCTGGGGTTGGCAATACATCACCCTTCAGAAAACCTACGTGAAGAAATACTACTCTTCTTCGTGTATTTTTGAAAAATGTTCTGCACAGCAAGAAATACCTATAGACGTTTTTCCTTCATGGTGACACTTTATGTTCCAGATGTTGTGTAGATGTACTGCACTATTTCGGATGAGTCTGTCATCACCAGCTATTACTATACGAAGCAACCAAGGGGCCGGGTGAATCTAGGTGAATAACCATACCAAAGTGTTTTCACAGGCAAGTTGAGTGGTGATCGACAGTAGGTATTTGTGACTACTGACAACTGCCGTTCATCTGGAGAAGTGGTGATTGTTTTAACTTTTAGCTTAACTGTCGCAGTGATGCAAAACCAAGAAGTTCAACAGCATAGGGGACTGAACTACATTCATTGTTGTTTACACTTTTCGTTTATTTTTATTATCGGTATACCAGTGACATATAGATGCACCTGAAACAATGAACCACAGTATCCTTACTTGAAACATATACTGTCTTTGTTTCCATCTCATCAAGAATCACGTGAAAAAACATCATTGGTTCAGTCAAACACCACTACCCTGCCAGACGTGACCACCTCAGCTTTAACTGAGGGAAAAGTTATCCAGTCATCGCCACGCGTTTCGGGAGGCTGGCGAGCCAGTCTGAGCCACGGTTTGATAGGTCGATTGGGTGCAGCGTTTGTCGCAGCCGCGACCGGTCATAATGTTGCGCCACAAGCATCCGCACCGCAGCCCAATGGATTGCAACAAACAAATGATGCACGTCAAGCTGCTGGTTATCGACATGAGCCAATTAGAGAACCGATTAAGCCCGTCTGTATGACTGGATCCCAGTCTTACCCAGATTCATCAGAGGTATGCACACCACTTGATGTGTATGTTTGAACAAAACGGAAAACTTTCGTACTTGACCTTTTACGCACGAACCTCAGGTCATCCGATCAATCCTGCTCTCGGAAGCATCAGACTCACTCATGTTTTGCCCTTATTAGAACTCAACAGTGATGGATATCCTTCACCTCATCTAGGGCTTGATCGTGGGCCTTTTAACCTCGGAGACCTGTGTGTTACCACTGTGCCGCTCCGTTCCCGTTCAGGCTGATCCCATTTACTGAGTTAAGTTTGTTCACACTTCGTTTTTCATGGCAGCCGGTAGCTGTCTTCCATGTGAAAAGCCCCTTGTTCAGACTCTGAAAGGAGCCGAGAATATATTGAGCTTTGACGAGATAAAAACTCGAGCCTGGTGTTTCCGAGTGCAAGGTTGATCGAACGACCTGGGGTTTGCGCGTGAAAGATGAAGTCTGAAGAGCAGTCAGTTAAGCAAAGTATCATCAGCCCCAAGCACCATTCTCAAGTATTTGATGTACATGTACGGAAGTGAAAAATATTTCGTTTAATTCTCGTCTTGTACATTTAGTAGCATATGATTGATAAGCTGATAAAATCTGGTAAAACAAAGTTGCGATTCTTCCGAAGGCGTACGCGTCAACCACATATTTGGACGTGCCTGAAATACTCTACCAACTGAAACAAAAGCCTTGATTAGAATTGTTCACCGTAAAAAAGTGGACCAACAAAACCTGCTCTTGAGACCGCGGTTTGATTTGCCAATCCACTGGAGCCTGTTCAGTCTAATAATCATCCATCCTGTGTAGATGGATGTGTACACATTTTCGCCAAGGATGAAAACTATTCCATTGTGATAAACTCGTTTGATGTAGGTTCATCGAAAGCAACTAGACAGTGGATATCCTGGGAACGTAAGCCGACGAGTTCCGTTCATTTATTTTACTGGATATAAATGAGAAGCCTGGGCTACTCTATAGCGGGTCAATTGCAAGTCTATTAAATATCTGATCTGCTTCTCTTGAAACTCAAAACCACGACCAAATTATTTCTGCTTTTCTGTAAAATAATTCAGTATCATTAGGAAATCGTATTATTTACAGAAACTGTCTTTGTTTGTTACCGACCTATTTAGGTCATAGTGTTTTCCTTTTTGACAGGCAGAATTCATATTTAGCTATGGGCTTTTAGCCAATTGGTTCAGTGGTCCAATATTTATATTCAACTACAAGATAGTACAAACACAGACAGCCACTTGTTTAATAAAACTTCTCTCCAAGTGAATTCTACCAGAATAAAGCAAATAAACCGTGTATTACATTTCCCCCCAAAAATTTAGTTGCGGCGCTGATTAGGAAAATGTACTTAGCATGATAACTAATAATAAATCTTAGTTTTCGGGCCAGGTTTCAGGAATTTCCTGAAGGTTGAAAAATAACTTTGATGCGAAGCAATAAAGTATGTAACGGTATGTTTACAATCTTCCGTTATCTTTTTGCTACGGAGACTGGATGGTATAGTTAAAAAATCTGAGGTTGTTGATCACAGAAGTGTAATAATTATTATTCCGTGAAAAATATGAAATTCATTTACGTGTTTGTAGTATTTAGGTTCATTGTATAGAGATCAGGAAGGCAACTCTGGGTGACGCAAAAAGGTGATAAGAGAGTTAGCCAACTAATCGGTCCTAGTAAGCCTCTACACTAGAGTATTTATAAACTTATATCACAAGTTACACAACAGCATCACAATTTTGTTCGACGAAAGTAATGACTAGTTTCTTTTTACTTCGTCCGTTTGTTTTTATTCCAAAAGTGTGCGGTTAGTGTTTCCTGGCGCAATCTTTGATTGACATTTGCGAAATGGAATAGCAAAACTAAGAAATATTGTGGGTGGTAAAAATTCACATTCACAAATTTTTCAAAGGTTCATCGGAAACTGAAACTGAACGATATGTCAGAATCACAGGACAGTTCTTACAGCGGAATCATCTATTCGACCTCATCCGTCAGTTCTCACACACAAGCGCCGTATCACACCTTCTCGTCAACGACAAATGAACCCAAGAAAACCATTCGTCACAGTCTGCAGATCGGTAATGTCAGTAGAGCTGTACAGGAGTTTGAGTCCCCAATCTCCACCGATTCGGATGAGCCACAGTCACATGATGGAAGAACGGGACGCGCACATTCAGCGTTCGCACCGTTCAACGAGTCTGAGCGTAAAACTTGGGACTTGCAAAAACCGAATAGAGTAAGAAGCTCGCTACAGTTTCATTGAAATCCATATATATATATATATATATATATATATATATATATATATATATATATATATATATATGCGATTTTCTTGCATTATCGAATTTTGCTTTCGATCCTGGGATAATTAAAATACCGGTATAGTTTTCTGGAACGATGCTAATTAGAGCATAACTAACTGAGCTGACACGGTAAAATAATCGTTGGATTTGCTCCAAATATCCTCAAATCTGTTTGCTCTTCTGGTTCCTGACGGGGCCGGTAATTAAACATTTTTTCCGCGGATTTATCACTACAAGCCTTCATCCAATTCTTCCTAGAACCATTGTTTACCTATCCTTCTCGTTAACTAGTTGCCTTTTGAGCATACGTTATTGCAGTGTCTTTCATTTACATCCGATTAAGCATAGAAATTCAGTCAGTCTTCAGTATGAAACAAAACCAAGTGTTTTGGTTTTCGTTTACTACAAATGAATTCATATGATTAACAACAAATTAGAACTTGTCAGGCAGAGAACAGGTGTATGCTGTTCTTTATGATTTCCATAAAGTAGATAGTGTTAATAAATCAAAAACCTACTCTAAATTATTGTCTTTTTAGTCAGAAGAACTTAGCTTTAATGTGAGTAGTGTTGTTCAGCTGGAGTCCACTTCAGAAGCTGCTAAGTTTAGCCAAAATCTCCGAGTTCTGGTTCACAGTCTCCTAATTTGGGTCAGTACTACTAAGATGCTTTCGGCTTTAGGTCAGTGAGTAGATACATGTCAGCAGGCCAAAGCTTTGCCTGGGTTCTTCCGTTTGATCTCATTTGGGGTGGCTTCTGATGAAAATGTTTGGGACGAGTCCGTAAGAGTTTTAGGTCCAGGTATCCCATTGAGACAAAAGAGGATATATCTGTGATGGGTGTACTTTGGGAATCTACCATAACTTAGACGACCCTTAACTTTAAACTTGTTCTGGAGAAGGTAATGTGATCCACCAAGTAGGTCCATGACGATAATGACCGACTGTCACAATACGACGAAAGCAACGATAACGACGGTCAGAAGCATGTCCATGTCACCGGCGACTAACAACGTGGAAATTGAGGCCGATAAGATCGTCAAATGTGTACTGTACGCAGCGCTCTTCCGTCAAGGTTTCATGTGTGCGATCTGCGAAGGCAGAGCAAGAATGGAAACCCGGTAAGCCGAAGCTTAGCATGTGTATGATCGGCCAACAACGTCAGCGAATGGGGAAATAGCGATCTAGCCACAGAGCTATAAGTCAACAGAGAACACGATGTTCTGCTGCCTTGTATAACGAGTTCTCCAAGATCAAAAAGAGTAAAAAATCGGAGCGCTGCATCGCTTGGTTGCTAATCCGGGGAAACAGCATAACTTGATCTTCTCATTTGACGGCTTGTTGAACATCATTTTTGGAGCAGTGTTTCAGGTGTCAGGACTTTCCTACTCTTGTCTAGCACTACCTGCCACTAAATCATGGCCCTTCTTTCTTCACTCTCAAACCTCTGAATATCGGGGTTTTCTGTTCTTGAAAAGGGCCGGGATCACGGGGAGTAGAGGTTGACCGAGTAATGCGGAGAATCCAAAAATGGTTATTTAGTCACACTAGAGATTTACGGGATCCACGATAATCACATGACTGAATGATTTGAATCAGAGGGTGAATCGACTTGACACGCTCTGCATATTTCATCGTATCAAGTTAGGTAAAGCTTTGTGCATCAAAGAGGCAGCAACAGTTTTATGTTCGCCCCGATTCTTCACATCAAAAACAGAAAGTGGCTGATCCAGCGATAGCTAGGTGACGTTGTTTACACTCACACTGATTACCCGCTGCCTCTGTTCCCCGCCCTTCTGGTCCCAACTTACCACTTTCAGGAGAAATTTCCGTCTCACAGTCACACTTTCTCTCCCGTAATGCCTATCTCTTTTACTTGCACATCTATAAGACTAATTTACCGGCCGCTATTTTAGGTGTTTCTGTTCCTCGTTTCCCATGATTTGTCCATGTACTTTGAATGAATCATGTTTGACTGACTGACACAAAAATCTTGCGTGATTTGTAAATGTATCCTTACATCGCAAAATGCAACAGAGGAAGAGTGGCCAGAACGTCCATGCACAAGGTATTACATGTTATCTAATTTTGGTTAGATGGATTGCTGTTGAAGACTTGTGTTGAGCATCAAATCAAGTCAGTAGCTGCTTTGTGCACCCAAAAGAGTGGATTTTGAGCCGTTCACATCATGTCAGTGGGTAAAATAAGGCTGTGCAAGCACAACTGCCTCAAAGGAAAATAAATATGAAACGGATTATGGCTCGACTTTAAGACTGTTTATTAGTCCTGAGAGAACTTTCTTGCGATCAACAATTAGACGAGGGAGATATGACGAAACAGAATTACGATATTCAGAAGTGTGAGTAAACAGCAGTCTAGTTCTTGAGTGTTTGGAGGACGTAAAAGCAGCCTTTCAAAGTTCACTGCATAAAGAATCAGACAGAATTTTAGAAGCAAAACCATTACAGGCATAAAATGGTTTATTCATGATTTTGTCAGCAAATGTAGCTCTGAATACATCTAGATATGTGTTTATGGAACTTATGACCAAGTGGAAGTCCTTTTTCAGCAAACCAGGAAAAAAACTATGGTGGATAGTAAGGCCATTGAAGAATATTGTGAGTGGTTACAAATTTTTAAATGCATTTATGAGGTGCGGAGAGTGTAAACAGTCTGAGGTAGAGAAAGAGGGTAGCTTTCTAACTTGGAAAACACCTCACTTGTGTGCATAGACCACGACAGATCGTGGGTAAATAAAACACCGACTGTGGACGACGGAGAAATATGTTCATCGTGTACAGAAAACAAGAGGATTCTATCAATTATATTTTCACCTTTCCCTCTGGATGATCAATAAAGTGATACATTGGGACATTTAGACGCATCCGCATTCAGAGAACGAGAAAATACCCAGTTTGTGGTGTCGTCCAATATGCCTTGGGAATGACCTCTAGTCTAGAATGTTCAAATCCAGAAACGAAGTCGTCTGCATATTTACAGAGAATAAGTGAAGATCGAATAGATAACCGTTTTTCGTACAGGGAAAAACTAGGATGAAAGAATAACGCCTTGTGAGACACCATATTTGACAGGAAGTAGGGAGGATGTTACTCCACTAAGGGACGTAAACTGAGTCTGGTCAGTGAAATAGTCACGAATCAGTATGCATAGGCTTTGATCAAATCCGAATTTGGACAATGGACTGAGCGACCCTGACCTAGTGAGACCGCAGAAAGTATTTTTGTAGTTCAGGAATAGTATTCTAACCACTTTACTTTTCTCATCTAAAGCGGCCAAAACAAAGTTCTATGGGTAGGCCATGGCATCGGAGGTGGGTCAAGAGGATCTATATGCAAACTGATAGATATCTTATCCAGTTCTCTCAGTCACAATATATGTGGTAGCAAAATGTTCTCCAACATCTTCAGCATCGCATATGCGCATGCAATGTGGTATATATCGGGCCTATTTTTCCTACAGGCCTTATTTTTGCAGGTCTCCAAATGTTGGGAATCTAACAGCTCTCCAGACTACAGTTGAAAATAAATGCCAAGGAACCGGACGGAGCACTGATGCACACTTTCAGGACAGCAGAGGATAAACCATGGGGGCCTGAGTCCTTACTGGTCTTCAGTGTAGTCGTCTGCTTCCAAATAGCCGAGGGCTCAATTTGAGGGGGGATCGGTAGTACTGGTATAGACAAGCAAATATATATCCTAAGGCAGCAAACCAAAACCCTTGTTGAGTTCATCGAAGCCAATTGAACGGTTCTCGATCGTTGGATTATTGCTACAAAGCCTTTTTATTGCACTCCACTGGTCTCGACAACTGGAATTTCCCAGGACGGTATCTTCGTATAAGGTATTTAGACTTTCGACTTCCAATTTTATGAGCTCAGTAGTCAGATTTACTTCGGACTTCTGTCCGCTTTTACAGGCCTGTTCTTCCTGCCGCGTAGTTGTTTAAGTAAAGAACAGGAAAACCTGTCGGTCCGCATGTAGGTGGTTTTGAACGGACAGAAGTTGTGAAAACAAATTAGGAAAGTCAGTAAGTTTCTTACGGCACGTTGAGGGATTTTGATTTTAAAACACGGTAAATCGCTCTAATTCACAATAATTTCCAATTGTGCTAGATTTTCTGAAGAGAAGTTATTTTGTTTGACAGTAGCACACGTTTTGTCTCGATAATGCGTATCTATTTCCTTTTCAATGAACATAAATGCCCAGAGATGCACGTTTTTTGGACTACGAATAACCCTTCATTGTTTATAAAGACAAAATTTGGGCAATCGTCATTTCTGATAGGAAAATGTATTAAATTTGGTAAGCTGAGTGCCATAAGGAAAGTTGTGTCAAATCTGTTGAAATCGCCACCAAATATATACTCAGAGTAACCTAAATCCGAGATAACTGAAATCGATAGCAGCTCAGAAAATGCTCTGGGATTATTTTCCCATATACCTGAGTATCCATTAAAATCCGCTTAGAAAACGTGGTTTGCATACGATGACATTGTAACTTATTTTTTGGCCTTTTATTCGTGAACCAACTTGACCATGCTACTCCATATTGTTTTTACGTAAGTGAAAATCCCATCACCGAGTCTTTGATGCCTCATGAGACGAGGGGCTCGTAAAGCCTGAAAACCATTTATGTTTGTAATTCCATCCGCTATATTTTTGTGCATCGAAGACTCCTGCAGCATGATAACTTTGGCGTTCTTGTACTCTTTCCTTGTTGTCATTGGGGTGAGATCACCTGTTTTCCCCAACAGTAAAAGTAAGCTTCTGGATACTATCACACGAATCTGAGATTTTCCAACAAAACATCGTTTAGGACCCATCTGTCATTTCGCACTCTGCTTTTTCACTGTTCCATTCCTCATTTATATAATCCGATGAAGCTTATTTCTACTTTGTTTCCTCGAGGGTTGAGATTTGAAGTTCGAATAAGAGATGGACCAACGAGTTTCATATAATGTAAAACAGCCAGGTTACTGGCGCTAAAGTGCAAAAGTTGCATTTCTTAAGACCCATCATGATACAACTGCCTAAATATCCGTAAAGTGTCAGCAATAGTAGGATACCAAATATTTTAGTGGCATAGTTTTTATAAGGCAGTCGGATAAGAAAGCGACTAAAATTTTATTCAAATTCCGACTAATATAGATTTATATTTCAATACTTAACAATCTCCGGGCCATATGGACTGTTCGATGTTGGTAATAAAACCGACTTAGCTGAGACCCAAATTCTACTTAGAATAGTTACTTCCTAGATTTTTCTATCGTTTATATTACTACCCATCGTATTATTATTTCACTGGTTAAGATCACTAACACAGTTCCATGAGTGGTTACATTTGGAGCAATCAGACTGCAAGTATTCTAATGGAAAATGACTGGTCTTCTTTTCTGTTTTGGGTTTCAGGTTTCCACTCCGAATCGTTACCAACCAGGCGAGCCGAGGCGACAACAAGTTGGTCGTCTGCAAGAACTATTTGAAAGTGGCGCAGCCTCACAGAGTCGAAGGCTATTTGTTCAACGAACAGATCAGCATCACAGTCCAAATCCGAAACCGGCTGTTTTGTTGAGCAAACGGAACTAGGAATTGAATCATGAACGTGCTATCATATACTCCATCACATCCCCCCACGTTACTGAAAGGTCACAGGATTTCATCTCCATCTCTTTTCCCATAGCGTTTGGTAACTGCATTTACCTACGAAATCGTGGGTAGTAGGTTGAAGTATAAGCCAGAGAGGTGAATAACATTAAGTGGCAAATCATTGCATCATCTCGTGCCTTTGATTTAGTATAATCATAACTTTGAAAGCCATCTATCTACGCATCCAATTGTTTGCTTTTAAATCCCCTATGATAATTTTATTGCATCTGTTTCTTCTTCCAAAACACATTAGGGATTTGCTATGAAACAGTTGTACAGATAATTCTCTGTCATTAGTTTGTACACAATCATGGTTAGAAATTTTACCATGCCCCCTAAATTCAAGTGGTCGTCTTTGTGTACTGCTAGATCACTATTTTGTTTTTCATCAATTCACATCTTCGCGGACAATGAAAAACCCATGTCTGGATATCTTCTTAGTCGATACCTGGAAAACTGATCTTGCTCTTGCAGGATAATTATTTGTGAATTTGTAAAACGGAAAGAACGCTAAAATGATGACCAAGCCACCTCAGAAGTTGCACAGCCCCACTCCAACAAATCGTTCATTTACCATTTTTCAGTGCCCCTATTTCTCTTGATGTGACTTCCCCTTTGTGAGTGTATTTTGGCATCAAACCAATAACATGCCCCGACCAGTTACTTGTCTGCTATCCAGAGCTATCATGAGTTTTCCACCCCAGAAGACTTTGTCTGATTACTTCATCGCTCATCAATGCATCAGTTACTACCGGTCTGATATTTATTGGAAATAATACCATGAGGACTACATTGGGGCCTAAATCGCGTGTAGCTTCTAAGTCTGGGTTCGAATCCTGCAGGGGTCACTGACCGTCATTATTTGGATCCATTCAAATCGGCCAAATCGTACTTCAAAGTGCCGGTAAACAGGAGTAACTGATAGCATCGTTAAAATCGCAAAAAATCCCTGGGTGTGCAAAGATGTGAGTACCTAATTTTCTTGACTAACTGGGTAGTTTATTCAACTATTTACTATTCGTCTTCATGATTTTCTTACTTTTGTGTTTATTCATCAGTGGATTGCCACTGATTGTGAAGTGATCCTTCATTAATTTTTCAACGCTCAACACTAGTTGGAACCATGTAAGTGTTGTGTAACTATTTTGCCGCTGTTTGAACCCATTGCTAGAGCATACTTCTTGAGTTCTACCTGGGACTCTAACCTGACACGTGGGAGGGCTTGGACTGACACACTGCCAGAAGATAACCTGGTTTGTTTAGTAGAGCACACGATAGTTTGTCGAGTGGCAGCCAGTACGTCTTCGTCGGTTCTGAATCGCGGACAAGACTGGAGCAAAAGAAGCGGACCGAGGGACTAAAAAAATACCCATTTTTGTCAGGACCAAATCAACCATTTGGGTTTCTAACCAGATTAACCAGTATGAAAAGCTGATTAAGAATAACCATTGGGTCAGTAACTTTGCAGGCCAGGATTTGGCTACGCCCACTTTACATCTTATGCAAACTGTCGTTTTGGTGCTAATAAACCGAGGTGGTTTGAAACTAACAGTTTTCTCACTAGAACTGGTGGACGGATATTGAACAGCAGATGTCATGCCCATATGAAAACATCAATGCAAATTCCTTAAGTAACCGGTAGGCTGTCATGGCTGGCTCACAACTGCTCGCCTAGCGTCAACATTACAGTTTAGTTTAATTCTCTCATCAACTAACCTCGCACTTTTGTTCTGTGGTTTTGGTTGGTGCCTCGCTGCACCGAGGTGTACGTGTGAGAATCAAGGTGGCCTCGAACCCCGCCGGAGTTATATAGACCGAATCTTTGCCCTCCTACAAACTAAGGAGCATTAGCATATTTCGTAGGCCTAACATCTGTTACGGCATCTTAAAAGAAAAGGGCTCCATTAACTCTGTCACATTTGAAAGAATTCGACCTACGTGAACTACCACTCCAAGACTGCATGGACTGCAAAAAATCATAAGGCAGGTGTTCTACTGAGATCCATTCTAGACCCGTGTTACTCACCGTATCACTCCTTATCCAAGTGATTGAAAAGTCTCTTGGAGCCAGCTAGAGCGGCTATGACAAAACACCTTCTGAAGGGTACTTTGAAACTTGTAAAATCGATAGGTTCTCTTAATGTGAAAGAACAACATATGCTTTCAATAGGCGTCACGTCACTATTAACTAACGTCCAAATCAAGGAAACCATCAGCTATCTTCGTGGCTTCATGCTAGCAAATGGGGTGAAACAGGTATGCCACTGGACAACCTGCGACGGTTACTGTTTGTATGTACCTAGAATGTTCTGTTTGTTTGAACAAACAGGTTTACAGCTAAAGAGACGGTGTGTTAGAGGAGTCTCCACTCGGGCCACTATTTTCTGATATAATTATGGCAAAACTGGAAAAAAGCCCGTTGTAATCATCGATCCGCGAACTTCCGTTGAACAAGCGATATGTGGATGACATTCTATGCATAACAGACCTATTGGTTCATAAAGACAAACTACTAAACAGCTTCAGCTCAGCATATCCGAACTTGCGCTTTACACTACAGTCAGAATCAGACAACTCACTAGCCTTCTTAGAAGTATTATTGACTCGTTGAGAAGATGGCTCAATACGATGGTCAGTGTACAGGTAACCAATATGGAATGGACAGTGTAGCTTCGTTTAGCTTAAATCGAAAAGAAAACCAATGATATGCCAAGCAAGCAGAGCGAAAATGATATGCACCGATGACACCATCAAAGATCTTGTGACGGTGCACAATGTCTTTATTCAAAACGAATACCCGGAATGCTTAATCTACCGGATGATGCAGTTGAATACAGAAACTCCGGGGAAAACAGTAGTTTTAAGGTGATGCTCAGACGGAAGTGGTTCTCCGAAGATTGGTAAGTGTCGTCAACAAGACATTTTTAACTTCTAAACTGCGTGTTTTATCCACATATAAGCTAGCCGTGTGTTAGTGGGTAAAAGAGAATGTGCCTGTTCCTGCGGTCTCATCTTGTGTGTAATCCTTCACTAGTTCCTGTGGAACAATGGTTGCATATCGGCCGCATGACCAGGTGCTTTTCTGAGAGCATCCGTGAGCATTACCCAGCGTGGTTGAGGACTGGAACAATTAGGTCAATTACCAGCGCAGTCGTTTCGCACCTAGCTGAGGCTAATCATGCAGAGAAGGTGGATCAAGCTCTGTATAAAGTCCAAGGTCAGCTGCCAAGATCGGTGAGAATTCGCATCTTGGCCATAGAGACTGTGGTCGGGATCCGCCTACACAAGCCCCTTCATTTTCTCAGAAGTAATTTGTGCATGTACTCAATATGCCCTGGCCCACTCAGCATTCAAGGTCAAGTCCAAGAACTTCCGAAACCTTATATGCTGAGAACGCGTTAGTCCGTTCACACCTGATCCCCGAATAGTCCTGAGCCACACTAGGTGGGAACAATTATCCGTGACACTATTTTGGTTGACTGTATCCCTCGTGCATTTAGCCATATATATTGCGTGGTATTGGAATGACGGAGAACCACTGAAAATTAGCTTGCTTGCCAAGATGTGTTTTCAAAATGTGTTCTGTGGGATTTTTCCTTCATGATATGGCTCTCACTTGTACTTGGTTTCGCACCTTAACAAGAGATCATTCTCAGAGCAATTGACTTACAGGTATTTCCGAAGCTCAAGCATCTGGTCTTTTGATAAGTACGTTTTGTTCGCGTACATGACAGCGTTACGGCAAGACTATATAATTTTATATATTTATTAACTAGAAATTCGTAATGGGGTTCTAGGGATGCAATCACTGTGGTTTGCTTTTATGAGGTGAACATATATGCTAAAAATTCCGCTAAAAGCCCTATTTTTGACCCTATCAATAGAACTGTAAACGTGATGAAATGAACCTGTGAAAACAAACGAAACAAGATTTATTAAAACCGAAGAAACCCGAATATCATTAGAAACAAAGTTCACTCAAATAATTAAGCAAGGTATCTTTGCTTACTGCTCAGGACTGTTCACTCTCTTCAGCTGGTCATGGAATCATTTTTGATCCAAAGAAGAATGTTTTTTCGTAAAAGTTATACATGATATGAATGAAATAAAAATAGTGCACCATGCTCGGTTACTTCAAGAGAGACCTTCTAGGTAATCACTACTCATCCTTACCACTAGGATGCAACAGTAGCTGCCTACTTCCATACATTTCCAATGATGAGTCGAGCGTTCGTACCACATGGTGAATCTTATTCCGTTTGCAGTGAATGAACTGATTCGTGAGCACAACGGTGCAAGTATGCTTTTCCTGTGAGTTTAACAGAGCTACGATCACTATTCGCTTTGTCGTCATTTTTTCAAACCTTTATCTTTAAACTGTACCAGCACACTTTAAAATTTGCAGGCTATTACATCCGTGACGAACTCGGAAGAGGTCGGAACACCGAATCAAATTATGACGCTTTGAAATACCGATAAAAAGCGTACTTGGGATGAAACTCAAAGAAAGTAACGACTGTACAACGTTTAAAATAAAACCGCCTAATATTTACCCCTTCCAAGTAGATGCAGTCGGTTTCGGTGTGTAGAGGACCTCGATATGAGGGAAGGGCAAATAACGGACTCAAGCTTTTATATATTGCGGAGAATAAATTGTACTACGTGAGGATCCGTGTTCTTCCGCGAGGAGTTGCTAGTGTTCGATCCGTAAAACACAAAGGATAGAAAACTCCGTGAGCCCAAGGCTCAGTAAGTACATCGACAGGATCCTACACGTAATATAATCAAACACCAATATGGCTGCAACAGCATGCTAACTGAAGAATGGATGAGTCCTCTGTTGTTGAGTGAACATATTTGAAATCACGTCAGATATGCAAGTGGAGGATTTGAGAGCATGGCTGGTATCGTGTTTCGTTACACCATCCAAGTAATATAGG